AGTTTCTAAATTTAAACTATATTTAATTAGCTAGTGTAACAAAAGGTATATTAGCAGATGATAAAGCAAAGTAAGTGAAAAAGAATTCACTTTCTGTGTTTGGCGCAAATTAAGGGTTGTCTCAATTTCAACAACGGAGATGTTTTTCCTCTTACTCCCCCGCGCTGAAATGAACTCTGCGTCCGAGGAGGTGGAGCCAAGTGTGAACGAACTATAGCTGGAGCTTAGCTCCAGATGATTTAGATTGTAGAGTTTAAAAACTAACGTCACCTCGTAAAATTGAAGGGAGTTTGCAATATATGTATATTTATGCTTTTGGGGTGCTGCACAGGAAAAATCTTTTCATTTTGTTTTGCATACACATTTATTTTTGTTAATATTGGAAAATTATAGAGTTTTGTGGGCGTTCAGAACTAAATCACATTTTAAAAAAAAAAAAAGTTTGTATAAATAAGCATGTGTGGGTATTTTTAGAAAATACGTCTCCCATATTTTAAACGTAACTGCAACAAGCACCGTCTCCGGATAATTGTTATATTTAAATATAACACGCTTAAAGCGAATTCTTTGTTGGAAATGATTATAAAAAATTCTCTAATTATCCCCCGATAGGAAAACGAAAGGAATCTACTAGCAATGTAAAACATCATGTAAAAATTTTAATATGAAAATTAGTTTTCCTTACAAATCAAAAAATTTTTCAATTTCCATGTATTAGGTTAAATAATAATTGAAAAATACTTTTAAACAAATGATTTTTTAATTCCGTTCTAGTATTTTCTGATGCGATAAAATAGCTCTAGCGATATAACTTAACTATTTGGACCAGATTTTTCAGATTGTGACTATTCTTTATAATTTGAGCTAAGAATATGAATCTGACACAAAAAAAAGTAGTACAGTCATAACGAAACTCTGTTTTCCTTTATTATAGACAACTGTTTTGATTTAAAATACATATCTTGAGTAAACTGCTATTGTCTACTGATTCTGCAACAGAAAAGTTTGAACTGCAAGTTCCCAAATCGTTAAGAAAGAAGAAAATTAAATAAAGTGCATAACTAATTGACGTTATGGATAACAGTGAATGTTTATTTTAATAGTAAGTTGTTAGTTAGGGAAATAAGAGGGTGTGATAGTTTTGGAACAATTATAAATAAATGTAGGCCCAGCAGCCAATGAGTATGCTCAAAAAGAAGATGACCGCAGAATTTCCACTGCTAAACTAAAAAACATTGTCCCAAAGGGGAAGATCGACGATAAAAAGGCTAGAATAGCGCTTGAGACTGTTGAAAATAAGAAAAAAGTATCTTAAAGAACTGGTAATAATACTATATTATATACATATGTAGTTGCAAAATTTTATTTATTTATTTGGATTATTGATCACAAAACGTTATGCGAAATTTACTCGAAACTATGTTTCTCTTACTTATTGTATTTCGAACTAATACAATTGTTTTTCAATTTACTTCAAATTTTGACACAAAATTTACAATTAATATAGATTTCATTCCCAATGGCCCCCACCCCCCCAAGCTCTTGGGCGCATTCTTGGGCAAATTCTAAACTCCCCCCCCAAAACTATTCGTTTTATTTAGTGTGAAAATTCCCCCCCCCAAGCTTTAAGAGGGCGCATCGTGCGCCCACCTCCCCCCCTGGTGGGGGCCCCTGCATTCCATGTAGGGATTTTTCAGTGATAAGACAGATTTTGAGAAATTCATAAAATTGTATCTTATGGCATTTTTTTAAATTTTTTCAAAACATCGCCATTTTTAGAGAATTTAAAAAAAAAAAAAAAATCTTACGTGTAATGAAAACTTCATTTATACAGTTTAAAAATATTCAAAACGGAATCAATTTTTTTTTAAACTTATAAGTACAGTAAGTTAAGGATAATTTTAAAAGTAAGATATTAACATTATGTATTGTGTAAGAGCTAATTTTTTTTACTTTTTGTCTTTGTATCACATGATAAAATGATGATTAAAATATGTACAGGATGATAAAAAAATGTGTTAAATTTCTCACAATCGTTTTTTTGTCGATTTTTTTGTCACCAAATTATTATTATTATTTTTTTTTTGTTATTTATTTATTTATTTTTTTTTTGTCGTAACAGTGGAAGGCTAGCTATCTTTAACTAGTTATGAACATAAAATTTTTGTAACTTTAATACTAGGATTTTGACGGAAAAAATTGACGAAATAGTTGATTTCACGCAATATACCGTATTCGTTATATCGAGTTGTTACACCATCTTTCCATAATCTATCTGTCCTCTGTAGCCTTTAATTAGCTCGATATAAATTCTGTCTCTTGAATCATTGGGGTCTGTGCGTAAAAATCATTGTGTAAAAATCTGATTCTTAGTATAAAAAAATATTTAGAATACTTTTACATTTTGTTTCAAAATGTTTTTACTTGAAACTTTTACTGGTCTCGTACGCTAAAAAGTCCCAGTTTCAATGATGAAACACCATAGTATCTGTATCATAAGTATTTTATCTTTTGTACTTGGTAGCTTAATATAGCAACTTTTTCTTTTCCTTTAATTCAAAAAATACTGCAGTAAAAACTGAATTTAAATAGAAGAAAAATAAGAAGAAAAAAAAAACAGTAAAAATATGTTTTAGAGAAGCATTAAATTTAAATTAAATTTGGATAATATTTAATATTTTCCTCAGCAAGGGCGGAGAGTAGAATATTATATTTCTCGCGACAAATATGTTACGATAGATATAAACATTTTGCTTAGCAATGATAGATACTAACTAAAAAAAATATTTTGCAAGCAATTTACGTCTTTTATCAACAGATTATCATGCTAGGCACTGAGGAGGAGCAATAACAATCGTAAAAAATAATTGTAAATAAAGAGTTTTCTGTGTCTTTCGCGAGCATTGCTCATACCCCTCCCCGTTTGGTGCTTTCCTAATATTTGAGCATCCACAAAAATAGTCAGTTTTTGTATAGTTTGTCTGAGCTAAAAACTCCTCTCGTCACAAAGTCTGAGGCTGTCTGGTGCCGTGGAAACAAGACTTTAGGGAGGGTAGCTTCACTCTAGGATTAACACAATAGAACGAAGAAAAAGATTCCCTTCCTCTCGCCGAAACGAAACCACTCCAAAACAGTGACCCGCATCCCTATTTGAAATAGTCATACCCCGTTACCATAGTCACCGCCACAGGTCCAGATGTATGCCTGGGGGAGTTCTTATTTTAGTCAATGCAAGAGTTTTATTTAAGTAAATAGATATGTATATCATGGAAGGGCAAAAATTGTACTCGTGACAAATTGTCGCTACGATAAGTTGTGCCTGTCGCAAATTGTACAAATGAGGAATTGCACATGCGAAGAATTGTGCCTGCGACGAATTGTGTTTGTGATTGCGATGCTTGCGACGAATAGGGAGGGGGGTGACCTGGTATTAATTGTAATTGGGAAGAATCGTGCCGATGAAGAATGGTCGCTACGACGAATTGTGCTCCTCACGAATTGACGTCATGTCGAAATAGGCTCATGACAAACTGCTAGCGAAACGAATTGTGCGGGATGAATTATCCCATGACGAATTGTCATGGACATCACAAAACCAGGGTGTCATCGTGCAGATGATACCCTGGATTTGTGCATACTTCGGAATAGCTAAAACTATTTTTTGTAGAATTTTGTATGAAAAATTCAAGATACGATTTTTTTCTGAAAATATGACGCCCACATATTTATATGAAACGAACTCACCAACTGTCAATCATGTTATCGATTCGCCGCTTTATAGATTTATAGTATAGCGCTGTAGATTCGCTTTGGCATTGCGCGTGTTTTGGACTCAACAAAACAGTTTTAAGAATTTTCTATGAATAATGTAACTGCGGCATTTTCGAAAAAAATGACATCCATATTTTAATATGAAACCTGTTACAAAAGAATCAAACGTGGTAAAAAAATTCACAAACTGTCCATTATATGTTATTGCTTTAGATTCGCTTTGATTTCATACGTGTTTTGGACTAAACAAAGCATTTCTTTAAAGATTCTTTGAATAATGTAAGCCATAAAACGGCATTTTTGGAAAAATATGACATCTATACTTTCATATGAAATCAGTTTCGAAAGTATCCATCGTGGTAAAAAAGTGTAAGAAATTCTCAAATTGTCCATCTTTATATTAGTTCTTTAGATTAGAATGAGTGTTGTGTTGAAAAAATTATAAAAAATTCACAAAATCTAGTGACAACACTATGAATATACTCGAGTTTTTCTTATTTAAAGTAAAGATTTAAATTCAAATTTTTTATAAACATTTCCGTACATGTATGATTATTTTCAAGAACTAGGACATCCTTATTTTAATATGAAACTAGTTTCAAAGAAATCAGCCTTTCAAAAAATACAACTGTTCCCCGTTACGTTAGTGCCATATACCTACCTTTCTATAAGTATACTTGTTTTTCACAAAAATTTTTTTTAAAAATTCTTTCAGTGTATTCAAAAAATATGGAGCAGGTATTTAATATTAATCACATGGTTCAAATAAATTTTACTTTGCAAAAAAATATTAAAAAAATCTGTAAAGACCGTTACAATGATGGGGCTTTAAATGCATTGTAATTCACTTGATCCGAAAGTATAGGTAGGCAGTCAAGAGCTTGCAACACTCCCTAGTGTAGAGCTTGCAACACCCCGTATGGAACTTTTAAAAAAATATCACGGCAATACTGTAATTTGAAACCGCATTCAAACGAAACAATAATTGAAAAACTATAACAAAAAAAAAAAAAAAAAAAAAAAAAAAAAAAAAAAAAAAAAAAAAANAAAAAAAAAAAAAAAAAAAAAAAAAATCTATGAACCGAAGTCAAGCATCACTGGTTACAATCAGTGAGCGAGTGGGAGACCATTTTGATCAGCCTGCGAGGGATCGAGGGTGCACGGTATCGGTCCTTGTTAAGCTGTTCTACCGTAAAGCACGAGCATTTGGTTTTACTTCTAATTAATCGAACTTGCTTCTAGAGCAATTACACAGTGTGAATGCACGTTTGCGTATATTAATACGTGGGAAATGGCGATTCTCACTTCATGTGTTGCTGTACCTCTGATGGCGTCGTCAGAAATCGCGAGCCTGACTGGAAAATTTTTCGCAGTGTTTCCTCGTCAGTGATTACAAGTGCATGAATCAAACGCAGTGAGAATGGTCCTTTAGGACTCCATTCCCAGCTTTTTTATACGAAGCTCGTTGTATTTCTACCTTATGTGAAAAACAAAACAAGTGCAGTATTGAATATGGAATGGTATTTAAATTAATATTTTTTATATTATAATAATGATTTAAAACATTGACTTTTTTTAATAAATTACTTTACACAATTTTGATATACATTTGTTTTATGCGAAACTAAGTAAAGTCTAGATATGTGTATTGATTATCTTGTGTTTTAAATCAAAGAACGTAAATAAAGCTCTACTTAGTTTGCTTCTTCATAAATTTGTGTTCTTACCTACTTTGTGTATACTATGTCTATAAAACTGGACTTCTTGACTATATAAGTTATATTTTAATAATCTTCCCTGCTAAGTATTGCAGAAATAATAACCAGACGTCTTATATGTAATTTTAAAAAAATCACAGAAGGGGTTTGGTTTATTTCAGTTTATTCTTAGCTGCTTCCTAGCATATTAGTTTTTAAACTTTCCCAAGTTCTAAAACTGAACGAGGCCTCGTCTATTGTAGATTCTAAAAACAACAGGTGCGGATATGAAATATCTGGTTAATTCATTACACTGTTTGATTTTTTACCTAATTAATATTTATTTAATATGCCATTACATTATAACCTGTATCTTAGATCTTTTTTTTTTAAATAAAAATTTATATTTGGATTGAAGATCAAAAAATAGCTTGTTTTTATTTTATCAATTAGATTTTATATATTTAATTTATAGAACTTTAGATATTTAATTTATAGAGTTTGAAAATTAGATTTATTTAAACAATTTAATAATATTATTTAAATGAGTTCTTTAAATTAAATTTCCAAACTTCTAAGGGTCACTGATGCCCTATGTACATAACAAATTTCGGAAGAAAAAATGTAAGAAAGATGTTAAGTTGTTCGTTTATAGAAATAAAATTAAAAAAGAAAAATACTTATTCTTCAAAAATCTAGAAACAATGGAATACATTGGAAAATGGATTGAATTAAATACATTAAAATTGAAACAATTTGTAATTTATAGATTTTTATATGAATACAATGGCTAAATTTTATAATTGCTATGTACTTTTTGATGTTGTATATTTGATTTGTGTGTAATTTATTGCTATATTTTTAGCTTTTGCATAATTTCTCTATCAAAGTGAGGAATATTTTATAGCAAAAAATTGGATAATGCAGATAATGTCTTATTTTTCCGAAGGTCCTTAAAGCCCTGCATTCATTCCTGATTAAGTGTGGCAGAAGTAAGAGTTAATGCATGTAATAATTTCATAAACAAGCTCTGTTGATTATTAAATGAAATTCTTCCAGACGATACTAACTGTCCCTGAAAAGTAAGAACAGCTAATAGACCTAAATAAATTGTTTTTTTTTTCTATCTCTACACAAAGATATTTTACATAATTTTTGTAGTTTTTTTTTATTATTTAAAAAAAATTTTTTTTTTGATTATTGCATGCATAGTTCCTCATCATTCTAACTCTCTTTGGCTTTACTATTAGAAATAAATCCTTAAAACAATGATAGTGTAAGAGGGCTGTTTTCACTGCATGTGAAAAATTTGCTTACGAAATAATCACTTGAGTATGAGAACTACATGAAGACAAAATACTTTTATCTGGAAAAAAACTCGCCAATCAGATTTTCATTCACATGTAAAGAAAATTAGGCAGTGAGAACGGTCCGTAAAGGAACTGATGTGTATTGATTCTTCATAATTTCTAAAGTTTTAATGGAACGCTTTAAAAAACTTTAGAAACTTTATTGGTCCCAATTTTTTCCCCCACCAAATTCATGCAATTTATGGATGACCTTTTTTCCTTTCTTATAAAATGCAATGCTACAATATAAATTGTTGTTTTTTATTGATATTTATAGTTTTAGAAGGTTTTACATAGTTGAAAATATTGAAATTTTTATATTGAAATTCTAAATGTATTGTGAGTTTGTGATTGTTACTTGTTACCCAATGTCTCTTTTTCTATTTCAGATAAAAATTCTCTATAAAAGTTTGCAGAAAAGTATCTTTGTAACTACAGAAATATAGTTTCATGATCGTAAAGTATTTCCACTTGCTGTGAAAAGGTTTGTTTTTTGACATTTATTACAGATGAATAATTTTTTCATTTATATACATATTTTTAAAGTTTGCTAACTTTTGCACTATTACACTTCACGCTGATTGTCTTCAGTCTGAAAATGATTTTTTTTTCCAGAAAATTTTTTGTTTGTTCAGAGATTCTTAAAATAATTCTTCTAAATTGTACATTTTATGTATCTTTTACAACAACAGAAAATTTTATGTTATTACTCTTACTGATGAATCTAGACACTTTAAGTGAATAACATTAAAGTACTTTGAACTTAATTTTGGTATAAATGCTCTAATTATCTGCATATTTCTTGGTGGTATTGCTGAATCATTTAGGTCTTTTTTTTAAAACTCATTTTTTTGTTGCTAGAGGCAGTTTAATTTTCATTAAAGTTTAATTTTAAAAATAATACGAACAAATGTGACTTGAATTGCTAAGACTCATTTTAGTACATCTCTAAGCTTGCTTCTAATAAAAGTTCAAAAGCTTATTCCGGGAGAACGTGTGAGATCATTTTATGTCCCTAGATATTCTAGAATTTTGTTTTTTTAAAAAACTAGACACCTGTTCATCTCTTTTTTATTAGTAGCTGAGTTTTTTATCCTTATCTGTCTTTTGTGAACAATTAGAAGAGATTTTGAGCATTTTTCCTACCTCAATCTAAATTTTATTAGTTACTGGTGACGTAGAATATTTCTTCCCTACTTTCAGTTTTTTCTACAATTCATTTTATTTCTAGTAGCTGCCTACTTCAATATGCTGTTTTATTTCCCTAGATATTCTGGAATTTTGTTTTATGTCCCTAGATATTCTAGAATTTTGTTTTTTAAAAAAACTAGACACCTGTTCATCTCTTTTTTATTAGTATCTGAGTTTTTCATCCTTATCTGCCTTTTGTGAACAATTAGAAGAAATTTTGAGCATTTTTCCTTCCTCAATCTAGATTTTATTAGTTACTGGTGACGTAGAATATTTCTTCCCTACTTTCAGTTTTTTCTACAATTCATTTTATTTCTAGTAGCTGCCTACTTCAATGTGCTGTTTATTTTCCTAGATATTCTGGAATTTTGTTTTATGTCCCTAGATATTCTAGAATTTTGTTTTTTAAAAAACTAGACACCTGTTCATCTCTTTTTTATTAGTACCTGAGTTTTTTTTATCCTTATCTGCCTTTTGTGAACAATTTGAAGAAATTTTGAGCATTTTTCCTACCCCAATCTAGATTTTATTAGTTATTGGTGACATAGAATCGCTCTTCGCTACTTTAAGTTTTTTCTACAATTCATTTTATTTCTAGTAGCTGCCTACTTCAATGTGCTGTTTTTCGTTTCCTATTAAAGTAATTTCTACTTGGTTTTTAATATTCATTAAAGCTATACCATAATAAATACCAAAACTTCTTTGCTTTCTAACAAAAATCAACTAACTGCGTATATAAACTGACAATATTACCTAACTGTTGATGAAAATCAGACTTTGGTATGTCACTTATTAATGATCAATGCCAGCAAATGGGTGGTTAATCCGTGTATGAATCATGAAATACGCGTTCAAATACTGATATTAAACAGTTTTTGTCTTGAATCATCAAAATTTAAAACTTCCTCTGGAGGAAATTTTGCTCATGAAATCTCATATGGGGTAAAGTGAAAAAAAGTTATATTAGTCATCTATTAGAAATATTTAAGATAAATAATAAACTGACTAACAGCTATTTAAAATAAAAAGAAAGTTGTAAAGTTGAATAAAATCCTTGTAATTCTTAAAACAAATCTTGAATGCTAAAAATATTTTCCGTAAAAAAGTATCCATAAAATGTTTAAAGAGACATAGTCTTTCTCAAATGTTATTTAAAAATGCTGCACTATCTTAAAAATGCCCCCTCCCCCACACCAAAAAAAGATTATATACAAAAGCGAAACAGAAAAGAGAACCTTAGTTTTTTAAAGTTGAACATTTTAGTTTTCTGTCTTTTTAAAAAAAAGTGAAGAAAGAGAATAAAGTATAACAGAAACCTCTTAATTTTCGCATTATAATAAAATCGGTGATGAAAACTAAAGTTTTTTTAAATAAAGAAAAAGCTAGTTAGAAACCAAAACAAATATCGTTTTAATTTTTAAGCGAAATATTTAGCGCTAAAAATCGTCATTGAGCTTTTGAACAATGCCGTCATTTTATCATTAAGTTCATAAATAGTTTGAGAAGCAGTTGCTATAAAACTTTCTATTGCTGACATTAAAACTTTTCCTGGCCAGTTCTATGTAGTTTTTTCCAATAAATTTTTGGTTGAAAGGCAAGGGGAAAGGCAGTGATGACTCGGTGTTGCATATGGTATTGAGCTATATAGTATATAAAAGGGAACCTAGTATACATATAAGGATGGTTGGTCCTCTGTTGGGTTTAAAGTTGATGGCTAAGTGCTTAGATTTAATATCTAACAATGTGTTGCATTATTGACAGCTATTCATACCATGTCATACTAGTAAAAAGTTATACAAATAAGGTACTGGACAAGCTTTAAAAATTTTGGTGATTGATTATTAACGTCTTATTTGTTTACTTTTTATTTTAAATACAAAGTGTAAGTTAAGTAAGGTACTTATTGTTGTCATTGTTGGGAAAAATACAGCTTGAATGAAAGTTTATGGCTCTGTTTTAAACATGGATGTATGTAAAAAATAATTGTCTAAAGGATATAGGTTTTACTGTGTAAAATGTTAAAAGCTTATCTTTGTTTTCAAATAAAAATAAATTTCAATTTTAGAAAATTTGAACTTGAACCTCGAGTGTGAGCCCTCTTAATTTTGTTAATTCTTGAGACATTTTTTTTTCTTATAATTTATTTACTTATTAAGTATTCTCTTTTTGATTGCTAATTTTCTTCCAAGCAGTTCTTCCAAGACATTTTTTTCTATTGTTCTGCTGTTTATTCTACTCTAGAAGAAACTTGCCACCCCTTAAAGGCTAAAAAAAAATTTTTAAAAATAGTTTTTAGTTTGTCATGAATCATATTTATGAGAACTTAATCATATTATGAGTACTGCTTTTTAATATACTTAATTTAATTTCTTTTTATAAACCTTTTGTTTGGGTAAATGGTTACTTAATATCTATTTCTTTTCTCCTTTAGTTTGAAGTCTGAAATGTACATCTGATATAGGGCTGGTTAACTTCGTTGAAGAAACTTTCGCCTCGCCAAATCTCCAATTTTTATCTGTCACGTCACGGCAGTGCAAAACTTGAACTTTTACTTTAAGAACGGAGCGTTAGGTCTAACTAGCTTCTGAAGACTTATTCCAAGATATTCGTTGATTTATATAATGTCTTTCCTCAGTTTTTTTAAGTGAATTGCAAAAATTTGAAATTAGTAACAAAATGCCAGTTTGCGCTATTGCAACTTGCAAAAATTCCGATAGAAACACAATAGGAAAAAATATTAAGTTTCATGTATTCCCTAAAGTTAATGAACAGCTATGTAAGGAATGGCTTCATCGTTGCAAACGAGGTGACCCAGTTAATGTAAAATATGCACGAATATGCAGTGAGCATTTCTTGGAAGAAGATTATGAAGATGATATGAGAAATCGTTTGCTTGGATTGCCGAGTCGAAGGGTTTTAAAATCCACTGCAATACCGAAAGTAAATTTGCCATTTTCTTCTTTACCACTTTCTTCAAGTTCTTCTAGGCAAGAAAGATTGCATAAACGCAAAGTGTTGGCTCGTGTATTGGACAGATTAAAAACTCCAAGCCCAAAGAAAAATAATTTAAATATTATGAATGAGAATTTTTTGCGTACAGCGAATCCTGATAAACGCTTTAAATTAGAAGCAGTAGTTAAAGCATTGAAAGAGAGAATTGAAACTTTAGAAAAGGATTTCAAAAACAAAAATAAAGAAGAAATAAAGTTTAAAAAAACATCAATTCATCGTAGGAAACGGTAGAATGTATCCAGAAAAATATTTCTAAAAATAAATAAATTATGAACCAAAAAGGGAATTGTTGAAATTGGTACAAGCTTTTAAGAAAATGTATTATTATATGTTCTCTTTCTTCAAAAGCATATGATTTTTAGATATTGAACTATCTCTGCCAAGTTCTAGTGCGTTAAAGCAATGGTGCGCAAAATTATCTTGTGCTCCAGGTTTACAGGATGATGTTTTAAATTTGATTAAAAACTGTGCCAAAAATTTAAGTGGATTAAAAAAATTTGTGTTCTTAGTTTTGAGGAAATGAATGTCTCCTCTGATATTTGCTATGATGCTGGACTTGATCAAATCCTATCTCCTTTCAAAAAAGTTCATCTGGATTTTATAAGAGGACTGTTTTCAAAGTGGAAACAAAAGATTTTTTTACGATTTATAAGTTACAATGAATAAAGTCTTACTTTTCAAAGTCATAGAAGGCTTGGAAATCTATGCCAAAGCTATTGTTTCAGATTTAGGAGGATCTGGAACACTTTGGAAGAATCTCCAAATAACAATTTGAATAAGTTTATTTTTTGAATCCTGACCATCGTCAAAAGCCTTTTTTTTGCTAACATGTTACCGCAGAATCATTTATTGGACCTTGGAATAATTTTAGATGATGGAATTTTGATCAACTCTGGAATTGTTGAAGAAGTATTGAGAAAAGGTACAGGAGAAAAGAAAATTGTGCCACAAACTAAAAGAGTCATATCTGTTAGTTTAAGGTAATGATAGACAGAAAGTTACATCAGCAAAGGTATTATTCTCTTCCATTACATCAAAGGTTTAAAGAAGAGTTTACTGGAAACAAGAAGGCATATGAGTTTTTTAAAAATTAATCCATGATTTTTTTGATGTGTTGAACAGCAAGAGCTTAGAGCCTTCTCCAGCAAAAAAGTATGAAAGCTGCTTTCAGAAATTTACTTTTTGTTGTTTTGTTTGTTTTAAATTACTTGTTAAACACTTGTTTTAAATGTTTGTTTTAAACACTTGTTTTAAATGAAAATGAAGTCTGAGAAGTAAGCAAAATGAGAGTACACGGTAAAAAATGTCTATTTTCATTTCAAAATGCAATTGCTATCTCTATATCTTTAATATTTTTATTATTAGAACATTTAAAATCAGTTGGAGTAAAATACATTTTACCCACTAGATCAGGGATGGGGAAACTACGGCCCGCGGACAGAATTTTAACTAGCCGATCAGTGGCGAATATATCTACTTTGTTTAAAACTATTTTTGTTGATTTCTTTTTTAACAAATTACTGATGACCTTTTTACTTTCTCTATTTTTGTTCTACAAAACATAAATTAATTAAATAGTTAGCACAAACAGCTTTAACTGGTAAAATGTTGAAAGCAAAAGTTCTTAATAGAATAGCTGTAGATTAGCTCCTACTAGTATTTGTCTTTCTCGAGGAGCAGACATATGGAATCTAATATAGGTGAATTGTACTTCGCATGAGGCTGACTACGCGTTTTAAGTTCCAACGAACGGATTTTTCTGCTGACTCGAGTTCTAACATAATTTACTGCGTATGGAAAGGTTGCACACATACAACGTCATTGTAAATAATGGTTAAATTATTAAATGTATAAAATGGCTACTGCCTTTTTGAGTTATTTGTAAACATTTTTTATCCCAAAATGGCAACTAAAAAACGCAAAGTTGATGTAGAGTGACATGCACTCAATGATGAATTGACTTTATTTTATTTCAGAAGTTTTTACTCGGCCCACCAAACTTTTTTTTCTAGATTTTTGGCCCACGACCAAAAAAGTTTGCCCATCCCTG